ACACACACACACAAGGACACACACATTATCGCCAGCATGTACCTCAGTGTGATTAAAGGGGTGTGACTTGGCATATTAATACATTCTCCCCTTTCCATTATTTATGAGTTACATTTGAATGGTAGTTATCTCAATCTACGACAGCCATGCAAATGAGGTTACTTTGCATTCTTGTCTCCTTAAGGACAGAAATGGTATTTTTCTATATAGTTAATAGTATCTATTTCTCATCATTATGGGATGATAAGGGTAGATTCCCCAATGTGATTTAAGTTTTTTAATTTCAGAATCTCTTTGTGTAACTTCCATCTCTGCTGCAGTATATCAGGGCTGATATTAGGTTAAAATTGGGATTTTGGGGGGGGGGTTGTACTGTCAAATTTGTGTTATACGGTTAGTGTGTGAGAAAATACAGTTCGGATGCACTGGCACAGGAGCACAAAGTAGGCAAAAAAAGATAATGCAGTCATCATAGTAGAAAGTGTGTTTAATAATGGGTTGTCAGACTGTTTGGCAGGACTGCAGATGGTTAAATATTAACTGTTATGGCTGGTTAATTTTCATCTTTCTCACTTCTCCGTCCACACGTTCCTCTCCCGCCTTCCTCCACTTTTCCTCACCAGTGATTTACAGTGTTTCCACCCCTCCTTTGGTTTTTCTCCTATTCCCACTTTTCCTCCTACCATGGGGTGACTTTGTCCTTGAGTGCTGGCCAACCCTCAAAGCATTATCATGGAAATAGTTAAAAGTGACCGTGAATCAACATCTTGAAGGACGACTTCTCTCTCCTCCCCCCCTCCCTCTCACCCTCCCTCCCGTTCTCACACCTGGTGACTCTGGTTTCCAGGGAACCGGTTTGTACAGTGACGGGGAAGGCACTCCGAGGGTTTGATGGGTAAATACAGACGTGAAGTAACCAGCTGACAGGGAAAACTTGATTCTGAAGGAAGGGACGTAATTTCCTCATAGATGCTGATAAAACCGAGTTAAAGAGACGTTCCGAGATGGATAAACATTGTGTGGTTGACAGGAGGGGGAAAACCAAGCCGTACTGGAGAGAAATGCTCACAGGTACTGTAGACATGTTTTGTTTTGTTAGACAGTCAGGCAGCTTAGAAATATCACAAAAATACAGTTTGGTTTCAGTACAGGAATTCGAGATGAGTTGTCAGTGAACCACTGAGAAAAAACAACTGGAGGAAGTGCTGGTTTCATTACAGAAACCCACACACACATATAGGTGCTACCAGACAAGTGGGTGCAGTCACCTTATAAACATTTTAAATATGCAGGGTATCTGTTGTGGGGAAACCATGTAGGTAATTGCTTCTGACTTGGTGAAAGGTGAATTGAAAAGAGTCTATTTTTAAAGGTCGAGTCACAGACCTTTACTCACAGTTTCAAGTAAATTAAAATAATAGTGAGGATCTGCCAGCTTTGTGCCAGCCTGTGTGACAAGTACCATTATGGTAATATGTACATAAAGATGAATGTAGTTTGGGTTTAAGAAGTTGTCTGCTCACAGTAGAGGTAAAAACCTATTATTCTGATTCTGAGTCAAGTTCATTAAAAGTTTATTATCTGTGTAGAAATTTACTTTGATTTGCTTATTTTGTTTTTTATAGTAGATATTATTTTCTATTAAATTGAAGATTTGTACGGACCACTTCTTCCTAATATAGATGTAAATGTTTAAAGACAAGACACAGAACATATATATATATATTGAAATGCTAAATAGTTTACTAAAACAGCTGTTTGCTGTGGCAGATTTTACTCAAACAGGGGTAAATGATGCGTTTGTTTGGGACTATTTCCAACTGTGGATTAATGCACGTTTTGTGATTATTGAGTATTTACAGCAGCATTATGGTGTATGTAAAGTACTATATCCATTTTAATGAAGAAGCTTGATGTGCTTTAATAGTTTTTGGACAACAATGCAGGTCTAGCAGAGATGAATAAACCCAACAATAAACCAACACCACAGCCCTTGTTGCTACGGAGCAGGTCAATGTAAACAGAGTTGCTATCAGCTGAGAGATGGACCTGTGTGATTGTGTGATAAAAGGTTTGTTTACATGACTTTTCCCCAGTGAAACACTGCGTATACGTACACACACAGAGAGACTCAAGATTTGATAAATGTCACAGCTCATTTCTGTCCTTTATCTGTCAAGGAGAAGTCAGCACTGTGCTTTGGATCAGCCCCTATCGTTACAGCTTTCTATAAATAAACCACCACCCATTAGTAATAGGTATTAGAATCGTGCTGGTGGTGTTTTCTTATATAATACTTAAGGAGAACGCAGTGTTTTCACTGACAGAGCAGATTGGATTGCTGTAAATGTAACTGCTGAATTTGATTTTTATTTGCCTTGACCGCCACCCCTGGAGGATTCGCTGCAGTTTGCCACCTGTGTTGATGCGTGTTTAATTGGTGATGACAAGCAGATAGCCCAAAGATATACGGGAGGTAAATGTAAGAGTTGTCTCTTAGTTGGCAGTTCGTGTTCGATATAAATCTGACATGACGTGACAGGAATCCCTTTATATTCACTTTCAAAATTGCAGTTTTACTGTAACTGACAGCAAAGCTCGTTAAAAACACTGACTAGCTTTCTCAGTTTCCTCGGTTTCTGTTGCAGGCGCAGTCATTTTGCTGTGATTTGTTTTTCGCCGTATGGATGCGTTCAGTTTCCTTCTGAGAATTCAGACCATATCATTGTCTGACCTGTCCACTGTGTGTGTTTATACGTGCAAGTGATTTCCTCCAGTTTCTCTTTTGTTCTGTGGTCAGAGTTAAGGGAATAGGAAAAACAGGAAGTTGACTGACAGGAAGAGGAAGTTAGGGTTCAGTCCAGTAGCTGGTCCAGTAAACTCTCCCCAACATATATCATCATTGAAGGTTTCTCCAACACGCACCCCTCAGAGAGACATTCATCCAACCTTTATATCCTTCTTGGATGTTGTCACTTAGGTTCTGGCAGTGTGTGAGGCATGTATTTTTGTGTTTGCAGACATATTAACACATCCCCCCACTCCAGGAAACAATAGGAGTATAATAACTGTGGTCACAGAGAGTCTGCAGGGGGGGGGTGTCACAGTTGAATTAGTGGGATGTCTCTAAAGAGAAGTGTCTGACATTTATGTAATGCTTTTGATAAGCCGCTTATTTTGTTATATTCTGAATAGGGAACTTATATAACAGATTGGGGTTCAATACTGTAGACACACATATATATATAAATTGTAAGTTTATGTGTGTGTGTGTGTGTGTGTGTGTGTGTGTGTGTGTGTGTGTGTGTGTGTGTGTGTGTGTGGAACAGCAGGCAGGCCTGTCATGAGGAGTCCAGATGGTGGGTGGAGAAAGCCCTCCTTTAATCCCTGAGCCAGGATATTATACCCCCCTTCCCACACATGCACACGCGCGCGCACTAAACACACACACAAAGTAATTTGTACCTCCCCTTGACTGTTTGCACGGCCCCACGCTGAGTTTGTCCACTTTTCTTTTACGTGGCATTATTCACACTCCATTATGTTGTCTCGGTTAAGCACTTCTGTGTTGATATATCCCAAGTGATACTGTGCTAAATATTTGGTACAAATAATAGTTGAATGACAAAAAGCGTGGAAGTAGACTCATAGAATTACCCCGTTGTGCTTTCTTTTTCTTTCTCTTTTGGGATTTCTGAGGGATTGTTTCCTTAAAACTGTATAGCGTGACTGATTTGCAGGTGGTTTTGATTTACTCACTTATTGGGCAGTCACTGAAGATGGTGTGAATTGATGTAAAAAATACGTATTACTGCTGTTGCAGTCCTAGTTAAACATGAGAGAGTCTACAGTAATGCAGCTCTGTGAGGCTGTACTGTACCACAGCAGTTCTTGCCAGTGTTATTGGCAGCATGGTAAAGGACCAGTCTGTGGGATTTAGGGGCCTCTAGTCTTTCAGATTCTTCCTCTTGGGAACATGAACGTCATGATGTGCAGTACATGTCATTGGAATTTCAAATATTTAAAATATTCACTATGAATACGGAAAACATTAAACGAGAATTGAGAAAAATGCTACGATTTAAACATTTATTACTGCAGTTTTTGCTGCTTTGGAATTTCTTGTTGCATATCGACCAACATACTAATGCCGATATATCTGTGATAACCTAATCTCACCTGATTGTATTGTCCTGTTGGTGCTCTGGTCAGGTGCTGCAAAACGTGGTAGTTGAAGAACATTGAGATAAAGACAGTAAAACAGGTTTCTCACTGCAATTTGCGCATTGAGTGAAAAAAAAAAAGTTGAATGAAATCAGCTCAACTTCAATTTGTTGTTGTACAGCTGTTATATTCTTTCATGTGTCACTTGCACGTGTTGCTGCGTGCCAGCAACTTCACTGATCATCCCGCAGCTTTGATGCTTCATAGTAGATCAGACAGAGCATAGGTTTGATTGTGTGTGTCTTTTTAATTGTGTGGGTGTGTGTTTGGAGGGGGCTAATATTTATGTGAGCCCATCATTGTTTTTATGACTGTTGCTATTTTCTCTTTAATCTTTTATGTGCATATTAAACGGCTGTGTTGAAAGAGTGTTAGCTCTCCCCACAGACGATGCCCTACATATCACAGACAGACTAATTAGGGCTTCTATCTCCAAGGGGCGGTATGTTCCTTTTCATTCTCAAAACAAACATACATCTTCTCCTTATCTTGATAAATGCAGCTACCAGAAGAGCGCTCCAAAACTCAAATTGGAATATCTCCAGTTCCGTGAAAGTCCAGCTTATTGTCTCAGCCATAGTAAGGCATGCTTCCTCCTGCCTCTTCTTGCTCCATTCCTCATTTTCATATTGGGGCTCCTCTTAAATAAAACATGGGGTTGCCTGAAACAGCTTGAAGCTCCAGTGTCAGATGTGGGTTGAGTATTAAAATATCATCCTCTTCCATAGTTTGCTCCTATTTCTTTTTATAGTGAATCCTGTGTTTTGTTGTTGCAGAGAAGAAAGACAAAACTGGCTGCTTCCGGGCCAAGAACGCTGATGAGGAGGCCTGCGTGGCGGTGAAAATCGAACACTCCAGAGGTGAGCTGCATCTCTTTTTTTTCTGCTTGTTTGATCCTTTTCTTTTAAATGCAGCTGATGGTTTTGTCACACCAAGCTGCTCTGGGCAGTGTCAATTAATAAGTGTACAGTTATTCACAGCTCACTTATGTTTGGATGTGAAGAGGCTGTTCATTTGCTGTGGTTTCCTGTCTGTCTGTATTTGCGCTGGTGTTGATGCAGTTCTATTTTTTTTTATGACTCCTCTTGAGATGTGTGGGAGGTATAGCGCTGAGCCAAATTAAAATGCAAAGCTTTGTTAGTCGTCAGTCACCACCTCTGATTCACAGCAGGAGGGCTGCACATGTTTGCATTTGAAATCAATATCACGCCGAGAGTTTCAAGCCTTTCAGCCATTTCTAAACTTCACCATGTCTAGTGAGATCTTCTTCTACTTTTTTTTTTTTTTAAAGCAAATTGCTTGCAGTGAAGTAAACTTTTAGGCAAGGTTGATATGCAGAAAAGGGGATGATGCTTTGAAAGGAACTATGAACACTCCCTGCTGCTCATGGCTGTGGAGGGGTGTGAAAAAGGCTGCTGGTCTCTGTTCTATTTTTGTTTCAATTCAAACTTGTGGTGTGTGTGTGTGTGTGTGTGTGTGTGTGTGTGTGTGTGTGTGTGTGTGTGTGTGTGTGTGTGTGTGTGTGCGTGTGTGTGGCTCACAGTCTGTGTCACTGTGATGAATGGGTACATTCCTCCAGCCCCCCAGTGTCTTCCTTCCTTTCACTTTTTCTCATTTTCTCTCCTCTTCATGTATACTGTCTGATTCTCTTTTGTAAATCCCTCTATCCGTTCACCCCTCTTCCATCTGGCTTTTCATCTGTCCATCTTCTGTGTTTTTGTCTATTTTCCTCATGCCCACGCTCGTCCTTCCTTCCTGCCTATTTCATCGTATTTTTCCCCAGCACTGCTGAAGCTTTTTTCTCACCTTTTGCCTTTAACTCATCATCTGCACCCTGTAAAATAAACACCGTTGTGTCCAGTTCCCTCTCCAGTTCCCTCATTTACCCCTGTCTCTCTCCTCCCCACACTTTGTCCTCTTTTTCATCACAACCCCCGACACTTTTGTGCCTCCCGGCGCCTCCTGTTTCAGAGCAGACTGGGGTTCTAATCTCACGCTGGCCCTTGGATTAGGGGATGAGGCAGGGTTAATCTGAAGAAAGTCTGGGTAGTTGAACAGAAACAGCTAATCCGCCATTCCTTGTGGTTATCTGTCACCCTGTCTGTCACATAAACACGTTCCAGGGTAGAGCCAGACTTGTAACTACACACCCTCTAATCTCACTGAGTGATATAGGCCACCAGAAATGGTTAGAAACTGGGTTTTGTGTATGTTTGTGTTTCCATTAGTCTATGTGTTGCTTGTGTGTGACTATGTAAAGAAGGTGAGCAGCAGCACTTATAGTGTCAGTTTGTCTCAGTGTTTTGCATGTGCCTCTGAAAGTATTTTTTCCACGTTTATTGTGTGGGCAAAGCATTTCATTTACATGTCAGAATTCTGCAGAAACCTTATTTTACTGTGTTCGACAACTGAAATATATAGACACTGAAACATGAAAATATACAAAGAAAAGGCTAACATTTTGTGCGTCTACCTGCAACTAGGTAACCTGGTTTTCTCATCTATTGGCAGTAACCTAATTTCTAAACCGAAAGGCTTAATTGAGATTCAAGGAACCAGGTTAACACTGCTGGGGAAACCTGACTTCTTTTTGCCATGTATGCATTTCGACATTTGTGCACATGTGCACGATGAAGATTTCAGACAGGAAAAGTATTGCTGTTACAGCGGAACAGAGGGAGGGAAGGAGAAGGTGAAATAGATAAATCCAAAGTCCCACTAAAATAAATGAGTCTAAATAAGCCACATCTGCAGATAAACTGTTTCACAATTCAGCAGAGAACATGTCCTTTTATTAAGCCAGCTGTTCAACCTAGGGGTCGCCAAAACTTCACAGGGGGTGGGTCGCGAGGCCTTCTTTATTTTAAGGCGTGCTAGAAAAGCCTATTTCGTATGTATGATTGTTAAAAATGATTTAAAAGAAAACAGTACAGACATTGAATTGCAGAAAAAAAAAAATGATAATCTGATATTAATAATCACTATTTGGGTTAATTGTATAGTTTTGAATATAATATGAAATATCCATAAAATATGTCACTTAGTCAAGGGTCATCAGGGGAGAGAAAAGGGGTCCCTTAAAGAAAAGGTTAGGAACTACTGCATTAAGCCATCAGTTTAAAGTTCAACCTCAGAAATAGCTCAGGATTCAGCATCAAATATCCCCAAAATATGAGGGCATAAATATGAAAACTGCATTACTGACATATACATTACTGCATGCAAATGTGGGTTTTAATAGTAACCAGGTGCCTGTAAACACATTTCCTTTATTTCCAGTATGTGTATCACTCACAGGTCAGGTGTCACCGGCAACATCTCTGATGACACCACCAATGTCTCCTGTCGGTCTCATGTGAGACCCTGCCAGCTGTAAGGCTGCAGAGGTTGGCTGCATGTTCACGGCTTGCACCACTGAGATGTGAGCATCAGAGTGCGGTCTTAGTTACTATTGCACAGTTAGTCAGGTTTTTTTTTAAACAGATGTTTGCCTCATATCTCCTAAATGTTTGAGAATTTAATTATGAACTGAGTGTTAGTCAAGCTAATTGGGAAATAATTTAGTGAGTGGAATTTCTACTGGTCATACTGGCTTACTGGGAGAGCAACTAATGCCTGTCATTCCTTCTAATCCTGCCCTGCCGACACATAAGGCATGCCAGTGAGCATGCAGTTTGACAATGTGTGCCCTGTGTCTGTGAATATGTATATGCAAAATAAGCACACATGCATACCTTTCATATATTGACATGTGGCAAGACGACAAGCTCTATGCGTGATTCAAATTAAGGCTTCCTTTGTTGGTTTTTCTTTTCGCAACCATGTGATGGCTCAAAGTTGATATATAACAATGTAGATAAGCAATTACTCAAAAAGGCAAACAGCTCAGCGCAGAGGATAGATACAGGACATGGAGAAGCTTGATTCGCAGTTCCCTGTGCTGACTTCTGCAAAAGGTACATCTTGTTTATGGAAATAAGCATTCTGCTCTTGGGATCTCTGTTTCATTTTCATATCTAATCTAGATTTAAACTCACTAACTTGTTGTTAGTGGATTTTACCAGATGATACTTTTCACTTGTTTGTGTCAACTCACTCAGTTTTTTAACTGGTTTAACTGGTGTCTTGTTTTTCCGTCTTAAATATTTGCACAAAAATGTGCCTGAGGCGGAGAAACTGACGGGATGGTGGTTTGCAATAATAGATTATAGACTTTGGGCTTCATTTAGATTTTAGCAGGCAGATGAGAGAAGTGGCTGCTTTACTGTGGTGTATGTTAATCATTGATCAGACTAACTGAAGGATGACAGGCGTAAATAGAACGAGAAGTGTAGTGGCTGTTACACAAGCGGGTCCTGGTCCTGTTTCAATGGTCTCGGAAATAGGCTTTAGTTGTTTGCTTCTTTTATGATGGTTAAACCAAACGAGCTGAAGCTGCAGAGCATTTTAATCATGTTGTACCTGCAAGGGCTGTGTACATACCTCTGAATTTGAATCCAAATTTCGTAATTCCCCGATTGATTTAGTCTGGTTTATTTCCATGTTAATCAAGAGAGGAATCTTGTTTTTGCAGGAATATGTAACTGGACTCTCAGTGGTGCTGTTTATACCTTTTACAGTCTGAATGTGCAGATCCTGTGCACTCAGAGTTGTGTGTTGTGAACCTCTGGATACTGGTGTGTACACCCTGCCTGTGTACTTGTTAAAAGCCACTTAAATAGGGGGTGTGAGCGAGAGTGAAGGAGGAGTCTCGTGCTGCTGTGGAACTGTGAGCTGTGAGCTGAGTCACTCAGTGGCAGCACTGCCTGGGAAGATTGCAAGGAACCTAAACTCTTCTGGGACAAACACACTCTCTCACACACAGCATGGTCCCTCGCTAGGGATACACTGTTTTCCTGACTGTCTCAAACAGGGTGAGTTCATTCACTGGGGTTTTGAATTTAACATAATGTTTTGTTTTGACTCTCTGTTAGATTCCTCTTAGATTTGCTTCTCTTTTTTCACTTCTTGTTAGGTGTATCTTTTAATCTTTGATTGTAGATCACCCTCCGCAGAACACACAGTCGCACTTGATAATGACTCGAACAAGTTCGCAGGCTGACCTGCTCTTTTTTCTGTTGATTTATGAGAATGTTGTAATGTTTACACTCTTAACACTGGCTGAGCCTTTGATATAATACATTGCATATATATGCAGTACACAGGCTCAGACAGATCACTGCACACCGTAGTTGCTTCCCTTTTGTATATCAACCAACTTGTAAGCTGATCTAGATGCGTGAAGGATTTTTGACCAGCTATTCTGTTTGCTTCAACTAATTTTTCCTGACGTTGCTGTTGCTGAATAGAAGCCACCCAAACGAGCTTTAATATTCCAACTCATTTACATAGAAGAAGCAGAATTTGTAAAAAAGTCCACTCAGACATTCCTTCTGATATTAATGTTGTGCCTGTGGGGCCACGAGCAGAGACAAAGCTTTAGATTCAAGCCGTGTCAGACACTCCTCTTTCTGGAGTGTTGAGCTGCTGTCAGGGTGGGGACACTGGGCCACACAGACAGGTGTGCCTTTTGTCTTTTTTCACCTGAAGCTCTCACACTGAAGTATTGGCACACATTCTGACAGCGGGAGTTAGGGAGGAGGGAGAGAAAGAGTGAGACGAGGGACACCAAGAAGACAGGTCCAGCAGGCCTACTGTCAGGTTACAGCGCTTTCGGGAAGGTGGTGATGTCATGAGAACATGGTAGAAAGGCCTTGGTAGTTCACTTAATTGTGTTTGACGCAGAGGCTGAGTGGAGATTAACCGACTGACACACCTGCCCGCCTGCACAGGGTTATAGGGTGAAGATTGGGGCATGAAG